ATTGAATACTTCTCCAACTGTCGCCGTGTCATTACTTAAACAGAATGTTAATACCTGTTTAAAAGAATTTAGATTTGAAAAAGTAATACTGCATAATATTGTAAAATACTTCAAAACCATTGATGTAAAGAAAACCGCCGATTTGTGGGGGATTTCCGTTACAGTGATAGCATCCATAATAGATTTAATTGCACCTCATCTTTCTATTATTTTTAATACTTGTATCGATTCTGGTGTGTTTCCTGATTTAATAAAGTATAGTAAAGTAATACCTTTATTTGAATCTGGTAGTACATTGGACCCCGCTAATTATAGACCTATTTCTGTACTACTAACTCTCAGTAAAATTTTTGAAAAAATAATTTTGGATCAGTTGTTAATTTTTTTTAATACAAATAAATTACTTCATAAAAATCAATTTGGTTTTACAAGGGGTCGCTCGACGTCTGGCGCCGGTGTTGAGCTTATGAAATATATTTTTAATGCCTGGGAGAATTCACAACATGCCTTAGGTATTTTTTGTCACCTTTCCAAGGCTTTCGATTGTGTTCATCATGATACATTAATCAGGAAACTACAACATTACGGTGTAAAAAATTTGGCGCTTAGACTTATTACTTCATATTTAAGTAACAGAACTCAAAAAGTCGTCATCAATGGTAAATGTTCCTCCGGATCGGTAGTATCAATGGGCGTTCCTCAGGGCTCGATTCTTGGCCCATTCCTGTTCTTAATCTATATTAATGACTTACCTTATCTTGTAGAGGACAATCACGATATAGTATTATTTGCTGACGATACATCTTTAATTTTCAAACTGAAACGGCAGTCAATTAAATATGACGATGTAAATAATGCTCTATCGAAACTAGTACATTCGTTTAATGCCAACAATTTGCTCTTAAACGGCAACAACACAAAATGTATTAAATTTACAATACCTAATGTAAAACATTCGAAAACCAATGTGCTCTTAAATAGGGAGGAGTTGAGTCTTGTGGATACCACTGTTTTTCTCGGTATTACTATTGACGCGAAACTTCAATGGGGCCCCCATATATCTAAATTAGCAAGCAGACTTTGTTCTGCTGCATATGCTGTAAGAAATATTAGAAGTCTCACAGATGTTGAGACAGCTAGGTTAGTGCATTTTAGTTACTTTCATAGCGTAATGTCTTATGGAATTTTGCTATGGGGTAATGCGACTGATATTGAAGCTATATTTGTTTTGCAAAAGAGAGCCGTACGGGCGATTTATAATCTAAATTGTAAAGAGTCCCTCAGAGAAAAATTTAAAGAAATATACATATTAACTTTGGCATCGCAATATATTTATGAAAATGTAATGTATGTACATAAAAACATAAATAGCTTTAATAAGAATAAGGATGTTGATACCTTAAACACTAGGAACAAACATAAGCTTGTAATGCCACTTACTAGACTCCACAGAATTAGTAATTCATTTATGGGGCAATGTATATGCTTTTACAACAAAATCCCAGAACATGTTCAAAGTTTGTCAATAAACAATTTTAAAAGTTTTATTAAAGAAAAACTGTACAAAAAGGGTTATTATAATATCAAGGAATACATGAATGAAAATAACCCCTGGGAATAAGGTGATCGCCACCATGCTAGTTCTATGAAAATTCGTTTAAAATTGTATAAAAAAAATTATTGTTAAGTGAAATTATGTTTAAAAAAAAGTCCCGCTGGGTTTCTTGCTGGTTCTTCCCAGGACAGAGGTATTTTCCGAACCAGTGGTAAATAAAATAATGACTTTCAATAAGTATTATGTAATAATCCATATTGAATAAAAATTATTCTATTCTATTCTATTCTATCATCCTAGAATAACTTGTTCTCGGGAGCCTGAATCTCGACAGGCTTGCCGTCATATATTAGATAATAGTAGGCAAACCGATTTAGATTTAGAATTAGAATTAAATAATACTTATTTAACAGAGATAGCCCATGACCCGGACACAATTTTTAAGGCTTTACGCCTCGTCCCGGAGTTTGATGGGAACCCTAACGTTTTAACTATATTTATAAAAATATGTGACAGACTAGCTTCGCAGTAACTAAGCAATGCGCCCGATAGTGAATTTTCTAATTTATGTCTTTTGAAGGGTATTCTTAACAAAATAACAGGAACCGCTGCCTGCACTATAAACTCAAATGGCATTCCTTAAAACTGGTTAGGTATTAGGATAGCACTAATAAATAATTTTTCCGACCAGCGGGACGAAACGGCTTTATATAATGACCTCTCCTTAGCTTCGCAAGGCAACAGAACTCCACAAGAATTTTACGACCATTGCCAAACTTTGTTTAGCACGATAATGACTTACGTGTCTTTACACGAGAACATACCGACCACCATCGATGCCAAACGGAACCTTTATAGGAAAGTCGCAATGCAAGCATATGTCCGCGGCTTAAAGGAACCTTTAGGATCTCGTATACGTTGCATGCGACTATCGACAATAGAGAGAGCCTTAGAATATGTACAGGAGGAATTAAACATTATCTATATCAAACAGCGCAATGACTCCATAAAAAGTCAACATTCCCCCAAGTTCATTCCACCATCCACACCACCTTCCGTTCCTCAACATCAACCTTTCCAAACTCCAGTACCTAATTGGCCAGTTCCTGTTGGGAAAAGACCTTACAGACCCCCACCTCAGCCATTCAAATTTCCTCAACCCGTACCACACCAACAGCGCATGCCAACTAATACCCAGCGCATGTTCGGTGCAGCCCCTCCTAACTACAACCAGCGTAGTAACGTGTTCCGATTACCACCCCGAAATAACCCTCAACAACCTCAGCCCATGAGTGGAGTCCAGCGTTTTATTCCCAAGGCTTTACCACACACAAAAATGTTAACAGGACGTGACTGGAATAAATTTGGCAATCCGCCACCAACAAATTATTTTAAATCCCGCGAAATGAATACAAACGAATGCGCTGCGTATAACGATTCATATTACGAGTATAACCCTGAATATGAGTACGCATACTACACCGACTATACCGACTTTAACAATGCTTATGCCTCGGATTTTGCTTCTGACTTTTCTTATTATGACTCGACTGACGAAAACCAAGATAATAATTATTATATTCAAAATCAATCATAAGTTGAGTCTAAGCACTCCGATCGGGATTTTCAGGCGGATTCGACTATAAAAAAAACTAAAATAGAATTAAATCTTCACACTCAAAGACAATTACCATACATACAGATAGCAAACCCCCCATTAAAATTTTTAATAGATACTGGCGCGAATCGGTCTTTTATTAGCCCTGAAGCTGTAGGAAAAAAATTTCAGCGATTTCCCACTTAATTTTGACCCGTTCGAAGTAACAAACATACACGCGACAATCCGTAATAATTATTCTATAACGTTACCTTGTTTTTCTGAATTTAATGATTCCGATAAAGTGAAATTCTTTGTATATCGCTTTCATGACTATTTTGACGGCCTTATAGGTTTGGACTTATTAAGTAAATGGGAGGCCCGTATAGATTTAAAGGAGGGACAATTAATAACGCATTCAGCATGTAATCCCATAAAATTATATAACTCGCGTAATGTTAATTTATACGAAGATATAATACCTGCCAGCTCTTCGAAAATTATTAGAGTTCCATTGGATACAAAGGATGGCGAAGGCTATATTACGGAACAGGTTCTATGTAATTGTATTATTCACGAATGTGTTACCACTGTCGTCAATAATCGCGGTTATATTGAGGTAGAGAACCCAACGCCAAACGATATAATATTTTCACTCGACCGACCAGCCCACGCGGAATTATTTAATATTGAGTGCACGCGTACCGAACAATTATCAGCACGCGTAAAAGACGTAATTTCGCGATTACGTATCGACCACCTAAACGAGGAGGAAAAGGCTAATTTAGTAGCACTTTGCTCTCGTTTCTCGGACGTTTTTTACATAGAAGGTGAAAGCCTCACTTTCACAAATAGAATAAAATATCGGATTCGAACCACGGACGAAGTACCAATACACACTAAAAGCTATCGTTATCTGTTCGCGCCAAACGCTGATTTCAGGAACTGACGCCAGGGGGTGCTCGGCGCGGTGCATTCGCACCGCTTTGACGTTCGCGCGATAGAGTTTTTTCCTACCGGCGGCGGGGTCGAGGCGAGCAGTTGCTATAATACTGTGCTAGCGAGAGCACGTTTGAGGACGCCCGGGAAACCTCCATTTTGGAGTCGGTTTTGTTAGCAGATATTGCCACGACGAAGGTTTCTTTGTTAAGTCTAGAATTCGACGCCGGGCTGACAAATTGTTAGGAAGTTAACATTGATTGCGATCAAAGTCTGAATTGCGTATTAGGCGCGCCTAATTTACCGCGAATTTGGTTATTCTAATTTGATAGCCTATAAGTGATTTGACAATATTAATTGCTCGTGCGGTGTGTTACGTTTTTGCTTATAGTAACGGGATTTCGTATAGACCGACATTCTGTATTTGTTTTGGGTGTTACGCTTTATAACAAATTAGAGTTAGTGGCTTCTGTAAGTTAGTTAATCGTACGATAGAGTTAATGGACTGTCATCTTGACGAACGAAGAAGTGGTCCGGCGCCGAAGCAGTCTGAAGCGGTGCAGCATTTTGGAGCAGCCTGGAACTCAAAGCCTATGCTTGTCAAGGCCCCACACATTCACACCTCACCGTACACTACTCACCATCCACTATTACACACACTCACGGCCTGGCCAAGCCTTCGTGCGAAGTTAGCTTCGGATAATGGTAAGTACTACGTGTTTCTAGCTTTCTCCCTTATTGTTTATTGTAATTAGGAAATTCCACGCGGCCATATTGAGGCCCGACCTACGTCTGTTCGTTGAAACTCCGCTGATGGGCCCCGGAGGATTTGTCCTTTATGGGAGCAGCCGTAGGCCGTAACATTATCCATTCATACATGGACAAGAAGTTTAGGACCAAATAAGCAAAATGTTAGATCAGGGTATTATAAGACCTTCCGAATCTGCATGGAGCTCAACCATCTGGGTTGTGCCAAAGAAAGTAGATGCTTCTGGCAAACAGAAGTGGCGTCTTGTAGTTGACTTTCGCAAATTAAACGAAAAGACACTTGACGATAAATACCCTATCCCGAACATTAGTGATGTTCTTGACAAATTAGGGAAGTGCCAATATTTTACCACCTTAGACTTAGCAAGCGGATTTTATCAGATCGAAATGGACCCTCAGGACATAGCGAAAACCGCTTTTAATGTAGAGCATGGCCATTTCGAATTCCTTCGCATGCTAATGGGCCTGAAGAACAGTCCATCTACGTTCCAAAGAGTTATGGACAATGTCTTAAGGGGGCTACAAAATCATATATGCCTTGTATACCTAGATGACATAATTGTGTTCAGCACTTCGCTCCAAGAACATATGGTTAACATAGACAAATTATTTAGTAGACTTCGTGAGTCCAACTTTAAAATTCAAATGGACAAATCGGAGTTTCTCAAACATGAAACGGCTTATCTTGGTCATATTATCACCAGGGAAGGTATTAAACCAAACCCTGATAAAATTTCGGCTGTACAAAAATACCCTATTCCAAAGAATCCAAAAGAAATTAAACAATTTTTAGGCCTTCTCGGTTATTACAGAAAGTTCATTCCGGATTTCGCCCGTATTACTAAACCATTAACTCAGTGTCTTAAGAAAGGCAAAAAGGTAACAATAGACAATAATTACGTTAACGCTTTCGAAAAATGTAAGTCTCTTTTGACAAACGATCCCATCTTGCAATATCCAGACTTTACTAAAGAGTTTAACCTAACGACAGATGCTTCTAACTTTGCCATTGGTGCCGTACTGTCACAAGGTCCAATAGGATCCGACAAACCAGTCTGTTACGCTTCTCGTACGTTAAACGAAAGCGAAGTTAAATACAGTACAATCGAAAAAGAACTTCTCGCAATAGTCTGGGCTACGAAATACTTTAGATTTGTTTGGACGTAAATTTAAAATTTTGACAGACTACAAACCATTGCAGTGGATGATGAATTTGAAAGAACCAAATTCTAGTCTCACAAGATGGCGACTTAGACTTAGCGAGTATGACTTTACTTTTTTAATTTATAAGAAAGGCAAAATTAACACCAATGCCGATGCTCTCTCACGTATAGAGATTCACAATGAAGACATAAAGACGTTAATGAACGAAATTGACGAACTAAACTTGCTAATAGGTAACCCAAGTGAAGGTATTGCTAACTCTTCGACCGAGATCGTACATACCAGTAACGAACACCCTATACTTGAAATTCCTATAACTTACGAATCACTCAATAAGTTTAATAGACAAATTCACTTGACTGTTGTTAGCGACATTAAACGATAGACCATTGTGACTAAACCCTTCGATACCCATACACGTGTTAGCATTCAACTATCGGAAAATAGTTTCGAAGAAGACGTCATAAACGCTGTAAAAGAGTATGTCAATCCAAAAATCAAAACAGCTCCCTTAATAAACCTACCTTTAGCATTATATAAAGTAATAACAATCTTACAGGATAAATTTAAAAGCTCTTCACTTAACCTTGTTCTAACTAAATTCGAGTTAGAGAATGTTAAGGAATATTTGCGACAACAAGAAATTATTCGTCACTATCACGACGGTAAAACCAACCACCGTGGTATTAACGAGTGTTACTTAGCATTATCTCGCAAATACTATTGGCCAAAAATGAAAGACCATATCACAAAATTTATTAACGAATGTACCATCTGCGGACAGGTCAAATATGATAGAAACCCAGTAAGACCTCAATTTAATGTAGTACCACCTGCAACCAAACCCTTTGAGATAATTCAAATGGACCTCTTTACAGTTCAAACTGAAAAATATGTAAATTTTATAGACGTTTTTACAAAATACGGACAAGCTTACCATTTAAGCGACGGAATCGCTATTAGTATATTACAGGCCCTTCTACAATATTGTACCCATCACGGTGTCCCCCTAATAATAATTACTGATAACGGAATAGAGTTCACTAACCAATTATTTTCAGAATTTACTAGACTCCATAAGATAAATCACCATCGTATTTTAGCCCATTCACCTAACGATAACGGTAATATTGAAAGGTTCTATTCGACCCTTTGGAAACATATTAGAATTTTAAAATTACAACATAAGGACGAACCGGTCATCAATCTCATGCCTTACGCAATAATAGCCTACAATAGCTCAATACACAGTTTTACTAGATGTCGACCATTTGACTTATTAACGGGACACTTTGACCATAGAGACTGTCTTAACATCGACATAACCCAGAAACTACTACAGCAGTATGTACAGACGCATAGAGATCAAATGAAAAAGGTGTACAAAATTATTAATAGCACGTCACTAGCCAATCGCACAGCCATTATAGAGAGTAGGAATAAGGACCGCGAACCGGAAATAGAATACGCGCCGCAGCAGCAAGTTTTTATTAAAAATCCATCTATCGCTCGCCAGAAAACCGCACCACGTTATACTCAGGACACTGTATTAGCCGATTTACCCATTCATATATATTGTTACGGCCTACGGCTGCTCCCTTAAAGGATCAAATCATCAGGGGCCCATGAGCTGAAGACTTCCCGAGCAGACGTAGGTCGGGCCTAAATCTGGCCACGTGGAATCTCTCTAATTACACTAAAATATATACCGGACCGGAAGGAATTTGGACGAAGCTTACTTACCTATATCCAAGGCGACTGGTCCCTCCGGAGTCGGTCAGGTCGCATGTGGTTGTGTAGTGCAAGGAAAAGAAGGTGATGTGATGTGTAATTGGGTGTGACTGATGGTGATTGAACCTAGACCTTAGCCGTCGGCAGCAGGCCGGGCGTCGCGACACCGCTCCTACTTGAGGGGGCCCTCCGAGGCGTTGTCCACATTCACTCTCCTCGTTCGTCACGATGACAGTCAATTAACTCTATCGTGCGATTAACAAACTTACAGAAGCCACTAACTATCGCTGGGTATAATGGTTACCGCACAAAACGCGCACGGAGTTTCTGGGTCAAAGGTCACTACCGTTTCGCGTAGCAACAGTTAATTCTAGAATATCAGAGGCCGCACTATCTAATATTGCCGAATGCACTTATGCAGATTCTGAGTCAGACACAATGTGCCCCGGGGAAGCTCTCTAGTAGGGATACGCGCCACAAAAATCCTAGACCGTATTTTTACTGTCCGCGCTTAATTATTCCGAGTTCCCGCGCTTAATTGGCAGCGTGCCAATCGTTAGCACAGCTGACAGGCGACTGACTGCCCTTGTGCGTTTTTTGCACGACCGAAAGTCAAACCGGTATGAATGCACCGCGCCGAGCGCCCTCTCGCGTCAATCCTTGAAACTAGCGCTTGGCGCGAACATATATACATCTAAAAACGTGGTCCAGTAGCAAAATCACGGCTCAAGCGTGTTCCTAAAGCAGTTAATTTGTTGCAGGATACTCCTAATAATGCTACTTCAAAGGACTCAGACGAAAGAGATAAAACTTGAAAGTCTATCAGACAGACCAGGACTACTACCGTATAAACTAGGACCCACGAAATTAACTACTCATTACCAAACATTTTTACAGTACGTACGACTCGATGACATTGAAGATAATATCCACTCCCGACAGAATCAACTACTGACTTTCCAAAACCGACTGACTAACGATACTTATTTACTATACGAAATCCAAATAGATTATCTGTCTAACAAACTTGGCAAGGTGTTAAGTCATCGCAGAACCCTAAAGCCCAATAGAGCTAACAGAGGTCTTATAGATAGTCTTGGTTCAGTCATAAAAAGCATAACGGGTAACTTAGATTATACAGACGCGTTAAGATATAACGAGGCAATTAAAACCCTTAAGGATAATCAACTGAGCGTTGCATCCGAATTCGATCAACATCTCAGCTTAAGTAAAGAATGGATGTCTAAGCATAGTAATGCAATTATTGAGATAGCGGAAAATCAAAGAAAAATTAATGAGACTTTGATACTTATATTAAATAGTAATGCATATAGGCAAACTAGTTTAATTAAATACGCTAAATTCGCGCAATTGTTAGAAATAATTAGTGATAATGTAGAGGACTTAATGCTTGAATTAATTAGAATAGAAAACACTTTAGCTTTTATTCGTGCATCTAGCATGCATCATTCTATGATAGATATAGAACTCAGAGACTATTATGACGTAATAAAACCCGGCTCATATTACACGGAGAAACAAATTGTGTTCATCTTTAAATTTCCTATAACTTCTAGAGATAATTTTGAATTATATAGATTATCCATTGTCCCAAATAAAAATTCACAGGACCTTATCCCAACCTATCCCTTCATGGCAACTAACGAGTTATCATTCGCGTACATAGAGACAGAATGTTCGAAGTTTAACCACTGGTATCTCTGTGAAGAACGCACTACCTATCAGATTCAAACACAACCCGATTGCATCCAAGAATTGATCACCAAGCAAGTCATACAAGAAGCCTGCAATCTTACTACTATCATCCTGTCAAAAGAAGCGATGGAAAAACTAGATGACCAGCATTATATCCTGTCCTTTCCACACTATACCAAGGTACAATTGTCTTGCGGAAGAAAATAATTCACCATGCTACAAGGGAGTTATCTCATTACGATTCCAGCCAGCTGTCTTCTTAAAACTGACGAGTTCACCATCGTCAACGACAATAATGAGATAAAAGGTCAACCTCTAAAGCTCACTGGACTACTTTTCAGATCTCTGGAACAAGCTACAGCATCTACCCGCGTCCAACTAAACTCAATCTATCTCCAAGGATTACACAGCATCCAAGACAAAATTCTCATGCAATCACCAGTACAACTACGTGCCATAAGTGACACACTATACCATACGACAATTTCCTTTTATATCATATTATCAAGTGGAGGTATCCTTATCTTTGTACTGGCCACCCGTCGCTACATATCAAGATGTAGAAAGGAAACGAGCAAAGCAGCGCAATTACCAACATCTAATTCAGAAGATCATGGAAACCCCGAAATTCCGGCAACATTTTCCCTGAACATACTCAAATAGTTGCCGTTCTGAGGGTGGAGGAGTAACATATACCTATGATATGAGGATCGCTGACTATGCACCTAGAACAGTTGCTATGTAAACCGACAGGAATGCAGGCGTAGCAATTCAAGCCACGTGCCGGATGTATAAAATATCACGTACTCAGTTACACGAAGCTCATTCGACACGAAGATTAATTAGCTATAGTAACAATTTGTAATTTTTATTTTAAATATATTTTATTAGTAAATTTGGTTTTTTTTCGAACCTCCGGCCGCAGCTAACGTAATTAGTACATACAAAAAGGTCAAAATAGTCCCTACAACTAAAACACTTAAAACAACTACTGATTTAATAAAGAAATACTCCGAAAAATTAGATCTCGACGTGAATTCGACAATACCATCATGTGCCAAACCACCGAGGTTGTATGGGTTACCGAAAATACACAAAACAAACGCTCCACTACGTCCTATAGTAAGCCAGATCGATTCACCAACTTATAAGTTGGCTCAACACTTAGCAAAAATACGGTCACCACTAAGAGGACATACCAGAGCACATACAAAGGATTTATACCATTCTGTTAGTGAGATAAAAGACCTACATCTCACTGACAATGAAACTATGGTCAGTTTTGATGTTCAGTCACTATTCACATGCCTACCTATTGAAGACTGCATGTCAATTGTTACTAGAAAGCTAGAAGATAACAACATGCCCACAGAATATGCAGTATTACTCAAACACTGCCTCACATCTGGCTATTTATTGTGGAAAGAAGAGTTCTACATGCAAATAGACGGAGTGGCAATGGGCTCACCTGTATCCCCCGTAGTCGCCGACATATTCATGGAGGACTTTGAGGAGAAAGCCCTTCTTACTGCTCCTGTAAATCCAAGATTCTACAA